TTATATTTTCGTATAGCGCGTTACGGAATGTGCATTTTCGCATGTGCAACTTCCGTAATAACAATTCTATTACGGTAGATAAAAATGCGAAATTTTCGCAAGTTTTGTTTTTCGGCGAACAACCCTAGTTTGCTGTTTAATGTTATTATTTAAAATTATCATGTCATACTTGCTCCATGTGTCATTATTATTAATTTTGTAAAATTTAAACTACATTTGAGAATAACTGCGAAGGTCAAAAAAGCATAAATTTTTTAAAACTGTTTAAGTAGTGTTTGTGGTATATATTTTAAATTGGTTTTTGTCCAAGTAGAACATCGTGGGATGATTTCGCCACAGAATGATATTGTTTTTTTTTTTAATTTTATTTAAGTTTCCCAATAGGTGGCTATTTAAGCAGTTAAAGATGGTGGTAAAATATTAACGGCAGCAAAAATATTTTGAGTAGCGAGATTAACGCTGAAAGATAAGATAAATGGACGTCAACAACCAAATTCTGTGAGAGGAAAAACATTGCTTACAAAGCAACAGGAACAAGCACTGGTAAACAGGCTTTTTTACTTGGCTAATCGTGAATTTCTATTGACAACAAAGTAGTTGAGTGGATTTCTATTGACAAAAGTATATTTTAAAAGCTTATTTACATATCAAAAAATTACATCGTTGTCGATTACTTTAAAAAATTTGCCCACTACATAGTATAAATCTCACTTAATATCGTATGACTGGTTTTTGACCTTCAAGCGTAGACATCCTCAGTTGACTTTTTGCGCTCCGTAAAGATTGTCTTAAGGAAGCGCGGAGGCGTTTAGTAAAGAACGAATTGAGAAAGATTGCAAAAAGGTTGCTCTTGACATTGATGTTAAAAATCAACCGGTACTTATTTATAATTGCGATGAAACTGGTTTGTCGTTGGTAGCCATCTATTTCAACTAAGGTTTTAACAAAAAAAAGCACATAACACTTCAAAACTAACCGTAGCTTTAACAAGGAACTTTAGTAACCTTAATAGCAACTATTAATACCTCAGGGGACAGTCTACCACCATTTTTTTAAAGGGGAAACTCCTTCCTGATGTTTCCAAATTTCCAACAAGAACCTCTATAATGTAGTAAACCAGGTTACATTGAGCAAGATATTTGTATTGATTGTTTAAAACATTTCAATAACTACCGACAAAAAATTGATATGAAAAAATGCATTTCTTTGGAAGCTGCCGAATTCTGTACCCTTAATAACATTGAAGTTGTATGTTTACCTCCACACAGCACTCATCATTTGCAACCGCTAGACACATATTATAACAAGTATAACAACATAATAAAACAAAAATAATCAGAAACTTTGTCTAAACAACTCTCTGAGGAATCATCAATCTCTTTACCTCAAAATCAATTCTATTTTGTTTTCAGCAGTGCATGGGAAGAGATGGTTGTGAAAAGAGGACTTATTGCAGATGCATTTGTTTATTATTGGCTGTACCCTCTCCGTAACACTGTAAAGGAACACGAATGTAAAAAAAAGGGGAATCATTCAGAGATAACATCAATTTTTATCAAGGAGATTCAAATTTTCTGTTTTTAAGAATAATTGTTACTTATCTTAAAAAGATTTAAAGCCTAACTCACACAAAACCTCATTTTGCACAAATTACATGCGTTAAAAACATTGAAATGTTTTTAACGCATGTTAAAAACATTTCAATGTTTTTAACATGCGTTAAAAATAACCTCTGTATGTGTTTTCCAATCCAAGTAACTCGAAAAAGAAGGAAATCTCTATCAAACAAGTAAAAGCAAGTGGTTTAAAAAAGAAGAAATTCTATAGTTTAAAATCATTATTAGTTAAGTGGAACCGAGTACTTTAAAAGCTCATAACAGAAACAGAAAAAAACCCAGCTAATTATTGTGTGTGCGTTGTGACATGGATGGATTCATCAGAAAACTGGCTCTAATGCATTTCTTTTCCAGGATGGACATGTGAAGTCTGTTTTTGAATCGACATATGCATCAATGTGATAAAATGTAATAAAGCTTTAACTCTTTTTTTTCTTTTCTCTTTTTTAATCAGCTATAAATTTTATACTTTAAGTTAGAAAATTATGCCTTAAATTGAAAACAAATGTTTAATTTTGTAAAAACAGATTTTAGAAATGTATTTTTGAGAATAAAAGCTTGTACAAGAGAGGGTTGTAAAAAAGTGCAACACTCTAATTTTATAGAAGGTCGAAACTTTATATAGTATTAATATATGAAATTTTAAACCTTTAAATGATTTAAATTATATAATTAATAAATAATAAGATGATATAAGTAGGTAAAAAACCCAAAATTTGTTCATTGATTACCCTCAGATTTGGCGTACGCGATAAAATATATATTTTTTTAATTGTGCCCCAAGAAACCGTAACAGCCTTGTCACAGAGCACCACGTAAGAGCATATAACTATGAAGTTTATGCCTACTTCCATACCGATGGCGCAATGGTTAGATTAACCATTGCACCACGGCTGCTTAAATTGGCGGTCATCGGGAGACTCGAACTCCGATCACGCACCGCAGTAGATCGCGCTTTCCAATACGCTACACAATCATGGTTTTGAAACTTTGAAAATTGAATCGAAATATTATTTACATTATCGAAAATTTACCGAAACAATTTTTCACTTTCGAATCTCTATAATTTGTATCAAAAAATTTTTATGCAATCGAAATTTTAAAATTGGCGCCAAAGTAATATTTCATTTTCGAATCTCTTTTATTTGCATCTAAATATTTTGATATTATCGAAATCATAAAAACGGTATTGAAACAATTTTTTACTTTCGAAATTCTTAAAATCACTTCAAACTATTTATTTAATACATTAATTCTGAAAACTACATTTAAATGAATATTTATAATAACAAAAAAAAAAAAAACACAGACAAATTTGCAAAACAAATAATATATAACGTTGTTCTAAGGAGCTGTGAAAAAATTCTGCCTGGGAGAAAAAAACAACAATAATTTAGTGTAATGTTGTTTGTTTCCCAGATGTATTCGACTTAAATACGATAATTTTAGGAGCGATTTTTATATCTAGAAAAGTTGACAGAACACAAACGAGGTAAAGAGGTTTCTCACCTTGCATGTGCTGGATGCATGTTTATGGTGAAATTATATAATAAATATGTAATTATTGTGCTAACAGTGAAATTGTATAACTAAATTAAATAAAGTAAAAATAATTTTTTTTTTCTTTTTGTTGTGCTAAGAATCTGCTGTGCATTCAAAAAAGATGTAAGTACATTGTAAGTGCATTGTAAGTACATTGTAAGTACATTGTAAGTACATGTAAGTACATGTAAGTACATTGTAAGTACATGTAAGTACATTGTCTACATTGCATTGTCTAAACGTTTATACAAGGGGTGCAACCTGCAGCTTGCAAGCTTCTTGTCATTTTTTTGATATCAAATTCTTTAGCTGCATCTTGACAAAAGTCCAAAAGCTCTGAACTTGGTTGATTATGATCTAAGTCATTATGAAATTTAATGACTTGAAACATTGTTTTTGAGTTTTTAAGTTCAAAAAGAGATTGTTCCTCTAACCTAAAAGTCCTAACTTTTTTACCAATAGTAATTTAAAAGCATTTTTATATTATTAGAGCTCCTGGATAACAAAAACTAGAAAAAAATAATCTTTTTGTGACATTCAAATCCGGAGTCCTTTTTGGGACTCCGCATCCTTAAATATAATATTGAAATAAAGATGTTGGTAGCATTTTAAAAACTAAAAAACCTTGTAAATTGTAACTTTTGGCTCTTCCGTCTCAAAAGGTTGCCAACGCCTGGTTTATAAAATTTGTTAAATGCTTTTTTTTGTTATTCTAGACTCTATTAAAAATAATTGGCTTTCACTGCAAATTTGTATTAGGTTTAATGTTAAAGTGAGGAGAATTTTATTAATTTGAAATATGATTATAATTTAAATGTGTAAATTTTTCTATACCTTTTACTTTAATTCACTTTTTGTTCAGAGCAAACATTTGTAATTTTAAATGATAATATTTATTTAGTTAAAAAGTTATTAGTTAAAATTTGAATACACTTTTTTTTTCTAAACATTTTACTTTGAACCACTTTTATGTTTCGTTTGTAAACTATTTAAAACATTTTATTTTCCATATTAATTTTTTTTTTTTTTTGGGTGGGGGGGGGGGTGGGTTATTGAATGTTGACGTATTTTTTTTATAGGGGGTCACTGAAAGTTTGACGTTGTTGACAAGGGGGAGGGGGGAGGTAAAAATTGCCAAAAAATTGTTGACGTAATAATGTTGTTAATAGGATTTACCAAAGTTAAAAAATAAAAATTAATTGTATTAGTAACATCTGAATAACTTTTTTATGACTTAGTTTGGAAAATAATTTTCATTTATAAGTAATTTTTTTATGTTAATTACTTAAGTTAATTACTTTTATTTGTAAAAAAATAAATTACTTTTACTACGCACTTCAATTCAACTTTATATAATTAAATTTTATATGCAATTTAGTTATTATTATTCTTCTTTTTCTTTTTCTTCTTCTTCTTATTATTATTCTCATTCTTATTATTTTTTAATTAATTCTAAGTGTAAATATATTTAATATTTTACATTTAAAAATGACTTTTTTACTTAAAGGATATAAAAGTTCTATCCCTAATTTAACCTGAGCCCATGATTTTGTTAAACCAAGTGTATTAGCTGTTGTTTAGGTCTAAAACTATTTTTAGGATTAAAAAAAAATTTTGGGGTAAAGAAAAAGACAGAATCTTAAAAGTTAGTTGGATTTGAGACAATTCACTGCATGTACTCCCCAACATTCGAACATTGCATGTACAGTCATTCTGGGTAACTTTGAATTTGCGGGTAACATTGAACTAAACGTGTAAAAGTTTTTAAATTTTTTTTTCTTTGGTATTTTCTTTGCCTGTTGCTTTAACAAAGAATAATATGATCAATTATCTTTTTTTACAAAAGTTTGACCAAAGAAAATTAAATTTTATTTCTCAAAAACAATGTTTTCCTCCATTTCCAGTTACACAGTCGAATGTGGTGATAACATCGTGTGTTTTCAATTTAGAATATTTGGTATTATATTGTAATTATCTGAATAGATTTTTAAGTATTTTATTGAATTATTTTTCGAACTTTAATACAAACTCAAAATAATAGGATTTAACATGTTTTTTGCTACAAAAAGGATAATTATTTCCACTTAGCTAAAATATAACCAAATTCAGGGTAACTTTAGACAATCAATATTTTCCAAAAATGCTTTTTTTGCTGTCTGAGTAACATTGCAATAATACATAATAAATAATAGGCATCTTTTTATTATAGTATTTTTATTATATTATGATATATGATATTATAAATATCAAAAATTATAATATCTATTACTAATATATTAATTTTTGATATTTATGGCTATCTTGATAGATTTAATAATATATTTTATTAATAGCAAATATGCGATTAATTAAATAATTTTCATTAATAACATAAATCATCTTTATATTTTTAGCATTCATAAAATGCCAAGAAAATGTTCGACAACTCATCCTGGCACTAAATCTAATTACACCAATTCTTCACTTCAAGAGGCTTTAGCCAAAATTAAATTAGAAAAAAATGTCGATTGGTGAAGCTTCTAAAATTTATAAAGTACCTAAAGTAACATTATTTTATAAGCTAAAAAGTAAACACTGTAAATCAGTAGGGCGCCCTATTGCCTTTAGCATTGATGAGGAACTTTGTTTTGAAAATCACTTACTTTATTTAAGTGACAAAGGTATACCAATTGGAATTAATTATTTTAAAAGTATTGTCAAAATCTATCTGGATGATAGTGGAAAAAATATACAACAGTTTAAAGATAACCTACCAGGTTGGGAGTGGTGTAAACTTTATCTTGACAGGCATCCATCATTAAAAGAAAATGTCTCATTGTATTTCAAGGAAAAAATCTCATTGTATTTCAAGGAAACGTGCACAGAATAATTATTGTCAAATAAAATTATTTTTTCAAAATCTAGAGAAGGAATTAAATGGAGTAACGTCAGATAACATTTACAATATGGATGAAACAGAGTTTCATGATGACCTGGAAAAAAAAACTTATTTTTCGTTGATCCTCTCGCCATCCAGAACTTATAAGAAACACAACAAAAACTTGTTACACTGTTGTTTTTTGTGGAAATGCCTCAGGAAAACTAATTCCACCATTTTTCATTTTTAAAGGAAAACACAGTTGGTCTGACTGGCTTTTCAATGCACCAGAAGGATCAAGAATGGCAACTTCTTGCAGCGGCTGGATGGAAATTCAAATATTTGAAGAGTGGCTGTTAAATCACTTTGTTCCAAATATTATAAATAAGAAAGGTAAAAAAATTCTGATTTGCGATAATTTAAGTGCTCATATATCTTTAATAGGCTTAAATATATGTGAAAAGCATAATATAACATTTATATGTTTGGTACCCAATTCCACACACCTTTTATAACCTTTAGATGTTGGATATTTCTCGAGTTGAAAAGCTAATTGGAGGTCAGTTCTTAATCAATAGCGTAAAACATCTAGAGGAAAAAAGGTTAATAACCTGCCAAAAAATTTGTTTACGCAGCTCATTAAATCTACTCTTAATGTTGGTAAAGAAAATCTAGAACATAATCTCCAAGCAGGATTTAAGGCTACTGGCATATATCCATTTGTACCAGAACATGTTCTCTCCAAATTACCCAGTTTTACAAATATAGATATTCAACTCAATATTGGAGAATCGTTTAGGAATTATGTTGATGATATTCATCTTAATTATGAAGTAAGCAAAAAATTTAAGTTACCAATAACAGCAGGGAAAAGTGTATCAGTCACTGAAGTAGAAGCATACTATTAGGAAAGAGACAATAAAAAAAAAAGTCAAGATAATATTCCAGCAAAGAAAAGAGGAAGACCGCTTGGATCAAATAATATGGTTATGAAAATAAACAAAAAACTTAATATTTTACAAAGTTCAAGCATCGTAAATGTTAATCAAGTTATTGAAGATAATGAACAAGTTTTACCTGTATCTCAAAGTGATGCAGTTTTTTCATTGGAGCAAATAAACAATCACTATGTACATGTTTTCCTTGATCATGATTATTTTGTAAAAGAGTTAGTTGTAACTCAAGACTAAAAGAATGAAACACTGTAATATTTAGTTTTATAGTCAATGGTGTTTATTTGTGGAGAATTATATAAAAATGTTTAAATTATTTTTTCTTTTATAACCTTAAAAATTATTTTGTGAATATTTTATTGAAAAACTTGTTTGTTTATTCTCGAAATATTTTATTGAAAAACTTGTTTGTTTATTCTCGAAATAGTTTAACTAGATTTTTTAAAAAATTAATTTAAACTAATACAAAAAAATTTAAACAACTTTTTAGATTTAAAAGATTAAAATTGACATTCAGTTTAATAGTTGTTCAAAGTTACCCGAAATGCGAGGGTAACTTTGAACGCCTACTTGAACATTGTTTTTTTACATAATATCTAGCAAATTTAAAAAAATGATAACAAACTTGAAAAAAGAGATCATCAGAACACCCTTTATGTAAAAATATTTGTTATCTAGTTAGTAAAACAATTTTTGTAGAGATAAACCTAGCGCAAACCGTTCAAAGTTACTCGTAATGACTGTACTTTTGATTTTGTAGGCGTCCGCGCTACTAAACGTCCGCGTTCACTTTAATACGCAAATAGTCATTCCACTTTTCGAAATTCATTTTTTTTCAAATAAAGTTGATTTAATCGAAAAGCTTTTTTTTTTCAAAACTAATTTATCTAATCGAAGTTCTTTTTTTTTGACAATAGTTTACCTTTTTAAAACTTTTTTTTTTTTCCGAAAATAATTTAACTTTTCGAAACTCTTTTTTTTTTTTCGAAGTTTATTTAACTTTTCGAAATTCAACTTAAATTTCGAAACTAATTTAATATATATATATATATATATATATATATATATATATATATATATATATATATATATATATATATATATATTTTTTTTTTTTTTTTTCGAAATTAAAATGAGTTTTCAAAATCCGCTTTTATTTTTAATTTATGTTAGTGATTTGAATAATGCATCAGTATAACTAAATGCCATCATGTTTGCAGACGATACAAATCTAATTGCAATATTAATCAACTATATGCTGACATAAACATTGAATTAGAAAAAGTAAATGATTGGTTCAGGTCAAATAAACTTTCTCTTAACGTTGAAAAAACACAATATACCTTGTTTCATAAAAAAACACAAGAAGAAAACCTTCCTCTAAAACTGCCAAAACTTATTGTAAATTATAAACAAATTAAAAAACAAGATACTATAAAGTTTTTAGGAGTTATTGTGGATTATACAATCAAAAATTATACAATCAAAAATTATTATAGTTATTATACAATCAAAAATTAGTAAAACCATTAGTATTATGTATCGAATTTGCCCATACAAAAATTCACATCTAGAGCTTATATACTTCAGCTTATTTCATTGTTGCATTACTTATGCAAATATTGCATAAGTAATGTAACAATGAATTGTTACATCCGTGTTGTTATATCCAATGAATTGTTACATCCATTAATTGTTACAGCCGTGGCGCAGTGGTAACGCACTTGCTTCAGAAACGTAAGATCCGTGGTTCAAACCCCATCTCTGGGCAAGTTTTGCGACATCGGTTGGGAAGGAGGCGTGAACTTCCTATTAAATGCTCTTCCGCGGTGCTCTGTGATAAGACCGTAAGGACTTCTTGGGGCACCTTAATCAACTTAAAAAAAAAACAAAAAAACAATGAATTTAATGATTTTCCATATTTAAATTGCCTTAAAGGCAATTTAAATATGGCAAAATCATTAAATTCATTTCAGCGTCAAACAAAAACTTACGTTATAAATCTTGCGGATTAATTTTTATTTTTGTTTACTAAAAATTTTTTTAAGCATTATATTTGATTATTTAACTGCTTGTATTTTAAATATTATATGTTATCTTTTTATATTATATGTTGAATATGATATCAATTTTTAATTGGAAATTTGTATTTAAATGTCTTCTTTTATGACTTTTTGTGACTTTTAGTATTATTAATATTGTATCTTCTTTTTAACTATTTGTATCAAAATATATATATATATATATATATATATATATATATATATATATATATATATATATATATATATATATATATATATATATATATATATATATATATATATATATATATATATATTTATATATATATATATATATATATATATATATATATATATTTTAGTGTGTGTATACATATGTGAATATGTTTGTATGTATGTATGTGTATGTATACGTTTATATGTATATATGCAGGGCCTTCGAGAGTTCATCAATTTAAAATCTGCTTAGATTTTGTACTTGAGGTTGAAACTTTAGTATTCGGAATAAAAATGCACACAACTTTAATTTTAAATTCTGTTAACTGTTCATAGGCTTACGGAATACGCTCAGTTTCCCAGTTTCAACTAAATCCTATTTTTTCATAAAAAATAGTTTATAATTAATTATAAACTATTTTTTATGAAAAAAATAGGATTTAGTTGAAACTGGGAAACTGAGCGCATTCCGTAAGCCTATGAACAGTTAGCTATGCAAGCTCGTGCTTGATTGTACGGAAGATGATGTGCTGTGGTAGTTATAATAATAGGTAATCAAATATCGGTTTGAAGTAGTTAACACTGATAGCGCAGACACTTTGTTAGGTAGTACGCTCCACGGGTGAGCAACGCGGACATTGAAGAAGTTGAAGTGAACGACATTTCACTATAAAAAGCGCTACTTTTTCCGGTCAGTTATCAAGTATTTGAGTTTTTGCATTAAGTTTAGAGTAGACGGAATGCCTACTTTAAGCCCAATAAGAAAAAAATAGTTTTTTCCTCAAATCGTTGGTGGAAATGGCGAAATTCGAAACACGAAAGCAGCATTCAAGTGCGGGAAATCGTCCCTTCTTCGTTGGAACGGAGGAGCTAGAGATCAATCGAGGAAACTCATAGATCGTGTGAAGCAGCATCAATCCAGCTCATTGCACCAAAAGTTCTATATGGATTGGAAAGACCCATACATTCGTCTTACCAGCTCCACTGGTATAGTGGAGCTGGTAAGACGAATTCTTCGTGGAATTTTGGATGTGACTCTTTTCTTAGCTTCTAGGAATTTAGCTTTTCTAGGTAACTTATTATAAGGTTCTTTCAATATCAATTTAATTATTTATATAATTATTTTAATAGTTATAACTATTATATACAATTATGATTGCAGGTGAAACAACACACGTGAATGGGAAAGGAAATGGAAACTTTCTTGCCGGTATGAAGCTTATCGGTCGCCACAACCCCGTCATTGCATCTCACTTGGAATATGTAAGACGCCATCAACAAGAGTGCTCCAGAATGAGTGCTCATTACCTCTCTCCATCGTCTCAAAATGAGTTCATCAAAGAATGTGGTGGTGTTATCCGAAGTGCAGCTGTCAAAGAAATTCATTACGGTATCTACTTCACCGTTATAGTCGATGGTACCCCCGATACATCTCACACTGAGCAGATAACCTTTGTTATTCGTTTTCTCCTTTATGAAAAAGAAACTAATTGCTGGCAAATCAAAGAACGATTTTTGTGTGTTGAAGCTTTCGAAAAGAAGAAAGGACTCGATATAGCTAAGCTTATCACTGATGTGATTGCAAGGCTAGGTTTAGATATTCAAAACTGTCGCGGTCAGGGATACGATAATAAATCCAATATGTCAGGTGCTTACAAGGAAGCTCAAGTCTTAATAAGACAAAATTATTCGGAAGCTCTGTACGTTCCATGTAGCGCTCACAATCTGAATTTGGCTGGTGTGCGCGCAGTTGAATCAGCCATTGAGATCAAAGTATTCTTTGGAAACGTCGAATCTTTGTACGCATTTTTGTAAGTCCTGCCCGATGGAAGATTCTCACTGATAGGAAAGGAATTTCACTGCATAAACTTTCTATGATAAGATGGAGTTTGATCTCGTATCGACGCGATCAAACCACTTGCCAAAAGACCGAGAGAAATGATGGCAGCTCTTAAAAATGCTATGGAAAACCTGGATCTGACGAGTGAGCAGCAAAGCCAAGCAAAAGCCTTAAAAAAATGGTTATCATCTTTTGAATTTGTATTGCTAATTACGATTTGGTACAAAACTCTTACTGCTGTTAACGACGTTAGTCGTCTTCTACAATCTGAAGCCATTACCATCGATGACGAGCTACGTTTGATTAGACAGCTGCTGGAAGATCTTAAACAGATAGGGGCTCTTGGTTGCAAATTTTCCAAGAGGCTGTAGCTGTAGCTGGACCGCTAGGATTCGAAACTGAACTTGCTACTAAAAGAAAGCGCAAACTAAAGCGCTTTCATGATGAGGCATCAAACAAAGCCTATTTCCACGACAGCCAAACGAAAGAATTCGAAGTGAACGTTTTTAATGTTGGTTTAGATAGTCTGATCCAGCAGATTGATTCAAGATTTGAGGCAAGCAGGATGGTTGCCAATATGTTTTCATTCATCTGGTTGGACAATAATGATCTTTCTGTTCAAAGTAAAGCTTGCGAGCTTGCACAATTTTATCCGAGAGATGTCAACAAAGAGGATCTCATTGAAGAAGTTTGCCGTTTTAAAAATGCCCGCAAAACAATTTTCAAGCAAGGAAATCCACTGCAACTACTTAACCAAACTTTCGAGAAGAAGCTTAAACGTCTTTTTCCGTACTTTTGCATCATGCTCCGGATTTTCAGCACTATTCCTGTGTCAGTTGCTGTCAGGGTGAACGATCATTTAGTAAACTTAAGATTGTAAAAAACTCTCTCCGTTCAACCATGGGCTCGCGTAACTGATCTTTTGATTATTTCAATTGAAGAAGATTTGGCTAAGTAGGTGAGCTACGGCGATGTCATCGATATTTGGGCGGCCAGAAAAGCTCGAAAATTTCATTTTTAGCGCTTTATTTACCTCTCGAAGATTTTATTGATTGACTTTTCGTTTATTGATTTTAAAACTAATATTTTGGTTAATGTCAGTTTTGATTAATGAACCGTTTCTCAATCCAGAGAATTAATAGTAACGCAGAAATACAATGTGCTATATTAAAAATAGATAATTGCTGGGTTCACAAAACTTTAAACTTTTAATTTCTGAGTTTGAAATAGGGGCGCCGTTCTCCATTTTTGACCCGGGCGTCTTTGCCGCTCTCGAAGGCCCTGTATAAACTTAATTTTTATTTTTAATTTTTTCTAATTTTCTCGACTAAAAAATTAAACGTTTTAAAAATAGTATGGATATTATATGCATAACATATATAAAAGCATTACATTCTATAAAAAACGAAAGGGAGAGAATTTTAAAAATTTCTAAAACATGAAAACAACATTGACATTTTTTGCACATACGTCATGATAGAGATAAAGATAAACTATTTATAATCACACAAAGTTTGTGCTTATAGTTAATTTATTATTGCTTATGATAAACAACTTACGTTGTTAACGTGCTTAAGTAATTAGCTTGCGCGTTTAACATGCAGAAAACGTTTAACGGAGACAACTTTCTTTCTTATAAAAAAAAGATTTTATTATCCAACTTTAACTTTATTCAAAATTAACGGGGCAAGAGACATAATAAGCTGCGGATGGTCTGAAAAAAAAAATAAATAAAAAGAAACTAATTAAAGAAAAAAATAATCAAGCTCCTTCCCGCTTTCGTTGTATTTGTAGAAATTATAAAGTATTAAACATAAATCGTTAACTCAAAATAAAATTTTTTCTATTTTGCTCTTTTTTAAAACTTATTGAAATAAAGCAAACTATTAAAATGGTTGGAGTGGAATAGACTTATAATGACCAGTATACGGGTCATGGTAAGTCCGCTATTCCACATATTTAAGTCATCCGATGTTTTTTTTTAATTTTTCAAACCGATGGTAATTAATTAAGACATTTCAAGCGGGTGTTCTAAATATAATTAAGACAGCTTCTAATATCTAATTAGTTGATAAATAGCGATTCGCGCAACAGCTACCAAAACGTTTAAAGATTTTAAAAGTTAATTTTTTATATCAAAACTTTAATATTGAAGTAAGGATAGTATAGATAAGTATAGAAAAGGTTGGTGTGGAATAGAGTTACCCGTTTTTTACGGGTCCGGACAGCTAGTAATAATGATTAGCAGACTTTTAAATTTTTATACTTTTATGAGTCATGGTTTTTATTAGTCAAGGCTTTATTTTTGTTTTTTTTACCAGCCAATTTATTCGGACATTAAATGATCCTTAGCAACACTCATTGTTTTGCTTTTTTTTTTAATCATTTTAAGTTATACACAGTATTTTGCAAGTTATCGGTCATAATTTTAAAGCCCTGTTTAGTTTAATTAAGTTAAAAAAAAAACTGATTTAAGAAATCTTTATTGAAATATGTGAATATTTTGCTAATTATTTTAATTATGATCAAAAGATAGAATGAAAGAGTATCTTACTCTTTCCTCGTTTATTCTATAAATTGCAACGTTGCAATTTATAGAATAAACGAGAAAAGGAATTTTTTAAATATGCGAGAAAAATGGCAGTAAAAAAAAAAAAAAAGCATATAAACAAGTAAGACAAGTGCAATGAATAAAAGATAAGCAGTCAAGACAAAAAATAAAACAAGTAAACATGAAGCGACACAAATAACGGAAGTCAAAAGTTGATGCAAAGAAATTAAAAGTTATTGTCACGATAAAGACAAAACAAAAGCGAAAGTGACTATAATAAAAATCTGTGTTAAAACAAGAAAATTAAATCTAATAATAATCATAACAATGGAAGATAAACGATCAAGAAGTTCTTTAAAATCAATTTATTTTAATATGAAGTAAGTGATCGGGTCCTGGCTAAATGTGGTGTTAATACATTCTTTTCCCCAACCTACTGAAATAAAAGAAAAAATTAACTTTTTAAAAAATTCATTATTTAAAACGTTAACTATTGTAGATTCTAAAATTATATATATTATATCTTCTTACAAAAATAAATAAAAGTAAAATTGCTTTCCGAGCAACGCTCGTAGCAATGTTATATAAGATTTTTTTCACTAAATTTTACAAAATCTAAGTAGGGGAAGTTGGGACATAACCACATATGGAGGTACAGCCGTTTTTTTAATATTTCTTTTTGGAAAATGTAATCTAATATGGCAAAAAACATACCACGCGTTAGTAAAACAGTTTTATCGCTTATGTCAAAAAGAGTGCATGTAACGTTTCTGAGAAGTTGTGCATAAGAATGTTTATTTTGATAAAAATATTAGATTTACATCATATTTTTCCAGACCTCATTTTTGATGATTAAGCCATATTTAATTTTAGTCTTAAAGATATGCGCTTTCAACGTTATTTCATCATGTGAAAACAATTTTTGATATTAACATAACCCAATAAGCAAGCTATCAAACTGTATTCTTTCTAAAAACTGTCCTCTGGGGCAGAACCGCATAGACGCACAGGAGGCTCAATCGCATACTTTTGATATTTATCAAAGTTAGGGAATTACGAATAACAATAATTACAATCGTCACACTTGAATGCGTTCATATAAAAACTTGAATAGAAACAGTTTTGTTTTGAGATGTTGGAAATTAGATTTCGTATTTTATTATTTAATTTTTATAAATGAGTTTTTGATTAAGATGATAAAGATAAAAGTATATCGAATGAAAAAATTCATTCTGTAAAAAAAAAAAATGTCTACACAGTATGCAAACGTGCAGCAAAATCAGCATGAAATCTGAGCTGTGACAGTTGTAAAGAAAATGTGCCAAGAAAAATGTACCACCAACAATTTTTTGCGAGGGTGCGGTTGTACCTCACAATAGGGGCAAAACCGTTTTTTTCACAAAGTGTAATTTTTGTGTGATAACATTTTCAAAAACCGTTTAATTTTTTTCTTAATTGCATCAATATAAAGCTTAATAATGTGGTTATTGAAATAAAATGTTAAAAACACATTTCGTTTTTATTTTCATATAACACTAACTCAAATCTTACGGGTGGTTATGCCCCCACTTTTCGACTCAAAACTACTTTTTTTTGTCATAATTTTTTCTTTAAATGGCAGTCCAAATAAACAACGTTGTCAATTAGGTCAGTGTTAGATTAAGGTGCAAAAATTGTCTTATTGGAATTTTTTCTCTGTTGTACAATTTTTCATTTTATGAAAAATTTTACAGAAACTGTATTTGTCCAATAGACTTTAAATTTTGTACAGTTGTACATTTTAACAAACTTTATGTTTCGAGATAAATAAACTATAAATAAAAATTAAAATAAAATTTCTGCGGTCCATTATGTCAGAAATTCAGCCTAAATTTAAATGTATAGAAAAAAACAATGTTTTAAAATTGAAAAAGAATTAAATTTTTTGTTGATATCAGCACATTTATTTACTTAAATGATACACAACTGTACTAGTTATCGAATTAAATGGTGCATTACTAAGACTTGATATATTTTACTTTTTGAGATATCTTTTCCAAGAACTTTGTAGTTTTTAGGCCTAAAGCTATTTAAATTTGCCCAAATAGTTAAAAAAAACACACACTCAAAAAATGTTTAGGTTATTTACAAGAAAAAAAAAATCAACCAGAATAACGTCACATATAAAACATTTTTTTAGTTAGGGAGAGAGGGGTACGGGGTACCATGAAGCATTATATTTGTGGAGGAATAAGAATTGTGAAAATAAAATTTTATAAGAATTGTGAAAATAAATTTTATATGGTAAAACAGTTACTACTCCTTTTGACAAAACAGTTACTACTAGCTTTTGACACTTTTGACACTAGTTACTACTAGTACTTTAACAAAACAGTTACTACTACTTTGACAAAACAGTAACTATTAGCTTTTGACAAAAAAAATAATAACATTTAATATTATTAGGTCTGCGAGGGGTCGAATTTGATTTTTTTTTGTTGATGACAAAGTAGCTTATTATTTTTCAAAATTTTGAGGTATGTTGTTCAATGTGTCTACCAGTTCTTTAGAAATCCTAACTTTAAAAACACTTTTAATGAGGCACGATTATAAGTAAGATAATATAGATAACGATCAAC